ATAAAAGTAAATTTTTATTTATATAAAAATGTAACATATTAAGGTATGTGGTTTTAAAATAGAGCTGTTTTCAGGAACAACAGTGGAATACTAAAAATTCGTTCTCTTAAAGAGTGTTGCTTCATATTCTTGATTTTAGAAAAATTATAAAAATGAGCTGGATACATTGTTAAAAGGAAAAGTAGAATCTTTTTTCTAAGAAAAAGTTTATGCTTATGTAGTTTTTTAAAAAGTAAATATCTTAAACGGAATATTATTTTTAACTTTAATGAAAAATCTTAGAAGAAACTCAAATTTGAAAGACGCTAAGCCATTTTTAATTGTGTAAAATTCTTGCATAAACAAATTTAAAAAGTCAATAAAAACTATAGTGCAAAATATTTTGGTGCATAGCTCCCACCATTTTTAGTGTGCAGGAAAACTAAGTTTTGTTTGCAGTGCTTGTCGTCACATTTTTTTTTGTTCTTTTTAACTGTGATAGTTTTATTTATTTATTCTTTACTTATTTTTTTATCCATTTTTATTTATTATTTTTATTTATTTTTTTGCATGCATTTTTTAATTTAATTATTGTTTATACTTATTTACTTTTTTTACTTTTCGTTATTTACTTATTTTTATTTATTTATTCATTTATTTTTATTTATTTACTTTTTTTACTTTTCGCTATTTACTTATTTTCATTTATTTATTTATTTACTTTTATTTATTTATTATTTATTTATTTTTATTTATTAATTTATTTATTAATTTTTTATTTTTATTTATTTTTTATTTATTTATTTATTTTTCATTTTTTGTTTGCTTGTTTACTGCCCATACATATTTTCAAGCGCATTTATTGCTTAATTTCAAAAACACATCATTTAAAAAAAAACTTACTTTTAGTAACATATTCGCATCAATTCTTTTAAACAAATGTTATTTTGTAGATCTTATAAAACTATTTGCACAATAACTACGGTTTCTTACTTTTTTTTAAATTAATTTTTGTTATTTATTAATTTTTGTTTTTATTTATTTATTTTTATTTATTTATTTTTTATTTATATATTTTTCAATTTTTTGTTTGTATACTGACCTCACATATTTTCATGCTCATTTATGACTTAACTATAAAAACATATTTTAAAAAAAAGTACATTTTTAGTAATATATTCGCAACAATTCTTCCAAACAAATGTTATTTTGTAGATCTTATAAACTATTTGCACGATAACTACAGTTCAGTGCTTAAAAATGTATTTAGTTTACCTCAAAAAGATGGTGGTAACTTGAGACCAAAATTAGACCAAAATTTCGTACAAGCGTAAAGATATTTTGTTATTACTGTATATTCCGACTTACAAAATAAATAAAGTTATAAAAATCAAAATGTTGGCCTACCATAAGTACGAGAACTAATTTTTCAAAAGCTTATCTGAAGTAATATTTACATCTGTAATAAACAGGGATAGAGTTTGCCTTAAGCACGAACCTCGTTTTTAACACAAGAAGCTTAATTTTTTGTTTAATTTATATACCTTATGCAATATAATGAAAATTAATTTTGAATGCTAAAATTTATGACGATGCTTTATTAAATGTGTTTAATTATACGTAATTAAAAATGCCCATTAAGCTAAATTTTTTTAGCTTAAATTAATTTCATTCTTTTTAAAAAAAAAAGAAACTTTTTGTCACAGATACGACATAGAGCTAATGTTATATGAATTTATTATAAAATTGTACTGTGCTGAGAAAATTCAATTAAAAAAGCTGAGAGTACTTTTGATTGTATTTACAGAAACTGGTTGGTATCAAGGTAGAAGATTTGCGACTCTGAATATTGTTGAATTTAATGTATTGTTAGAGTATATTAGGGTATATTGTTAGGCAAACTTTTTATTGCTTAAAATATTTCTTTTTATACTGTATTTGCTATTTTACGCTTTCAAAAATTTCGATACAATTTATTAGTGATTTTTTTTCATTTTAAAAATGTTATAATTTCATATTTTAATGATTTTAATTACATTTTAACTTTAGATAAAATTTATAGTTCAATAAAGAAAATGCACTTTCTTCAATGGAGTATATTTCACAATCAGAGCACTGTTATGATATTTACCCACATTGAGTAAATTTGTGGCAACATCATAAATATGTTGTTATTGTTTCCGATGTCACTTGCCAATATACCAGCAAACCAACATGGTAAATACCAAGCGAACTTAAGGCAAAGGGGTCTGTTCTTGCTTTTAGTAGAGCTATTTACGGCCAAAAATACGATTTCAGCCACACACACACATCATAGCCCATTTTAAAGAGCGGACTTATTTTACATCCATTCATTCATCCACACATCTTAGTTTTGATCCGAACAAGAGAACCGTCAATCTCCAATTCAGTACCTCCAGAGGTACTTATTTGCTATAGGAACTTGGAAGCCTTTGTGATTCGACAGATTTAACGTATACTAGTCACCGTTTACTACACGGGGAGTGTTCGGAAGGAAGGGATTAAACTCACTACCTCTTGAACATGGGCCCAACGCTCTACCAACCAGGCTATCTCTAGCTCACCAGATAAATATTTACAATGTTACCGTCTAAGGTGAACCATATTATAGTATAAACAAGAATCGGAGGGAAATACTTATAGATGAATTATAAATAAAATGGTTCAAATTTTTTAGATTTGAGGCAATAATGGTCATCTTCATAACCTTGTAATTTTGAACTCGCGAAGCTTACTTTTTATTTTAATACTTTTTTCAAAATCCTCAATTTCTGCATATTTTTATTCATTATAAATTATTCTTTCAAACATGTTGGTCCCATCATGTTAAAAAAAGAATTTAGAATGAAAAGTAATTTTTTTTCTACTATTGTTATTGCATGTAGAAAATTTTATGAAAAACTTAATCTTGCAAGCAGAGTTTGAATGAACCTGCTGAGTCATTTTAAAATAAGTTTTTTCTTTTTAGGATTTTAATTTATTTGTAAATAATGAAAACTAACACGTTTTTACTATTATATAGAAATGAGAATAATTAAATTTCAAGTGTATTTACTTAAAATAACAAAACAAATGAAAATTACTTAAGTTAATTAAAATCACTTAGTTAAATAAAAATTACTAAAATTGTTTCTAACTATTTTTAACACTTAATACAAACTTATAAATCTTTCTAATAATAATGATCTCAAAATTTCTTTATAAAATTTAATTAATAAAATTAAGTAGTATTAAAGTTGAATTAAATATTTAATTTAAAGAACTATTACTGCATGGTTAATGTCAATAACTTTAATTGCAACTATACTCAATTACCATATAATCTAAAACTCATAACATCAAAAATAATATGTAATATTATTATATTATGTAAGTAACTATAATTTAAATTAAATGACAGATAAATGATTAATAGTTTTTGTCTTTCAACAATTATATTAAACCTACGAATTCACGGAAGAGTGACAGTTTCAAAATATAAAATCAATATTGAAAAGCAGCACATCTAAAAAAATTTCCCTTTCAAACTTTTAACATTATTTTTTTCAGCATTAAAACCCTGCCCAGTAATATTGTAATCATTATGCTCTAATTAAAGCATCAAACCTATACAATCTGGACACAAAATTTCATTACATTAACATTAAAAATTTCATTACATATAACATTAAATAAATGACTTTTTCATATTATTTGATTAATAAAGTTAAATCACATTATCATTAAATAAGAAAAATGTTACATAAGTTGACTAATAAAACTGTGGTTGTATTATTATCCCTTCGACACAGTATTTTTATTGAACACACTTTTCATACTTTATCATTAATTTGCATTAATTAAGTCAAACTAAATAAAAAATATTATATTTAGCATTTTAACAATTTATTTTTAAAAAATACAACAGGAAACACTAGTGTCTTTTTTTACATTATGTTCTAAACACGGCTCATTTCCATAAAAAAATTTTCTTAATTTACATTTATCTGTTATTGTTTAGATCTAAGAGAAACAGTTATTCATCGTTGAAATTTGTTTAATTTACAAAATTAGCTATTGATAAATTTTTGAAAATAAATGAATTTTTTTTAAACTACTTGTTTTTAGGTTTTATATTTTAGTACAAATATAATTTCAAAAATCTTTCAGATTTTTTTCGCAATTATTAGATTTCTTTTATATTTGAAAATTATCGAAATATGTTATTTCTAGTAATTAGAGTGCCAGAAAAAAATATATAAAAAAGGAACACCAATGTCTCATCTGCGTCAAAGGGTTAATACCATGAGCTTTTGTTAATTCTATTTCCAACAATTTGCTTCTATTTCCAACTATTTCCAACAATATATTTTGAAAAATATTGCATCAAAAATAATTTGAAAACATTTTTATATGATGAAATTACATTAAATGGAAAATATTAGGGGGACCGGAAAGTAATGTCGTTTTGGTGCATCTGATATTTGCTATCAAGATTTCATTTGTAAGCAACAATGTATTCACCCTCGTTAGCAACAACCTTTCAATGTCGGATCGAAAATAACTCTAAATGGATCGAAAATAAATGAATTGGTTTTTAAGACTAACAAATACTTAATGCTCCGAAACGACATAACTTTCCGGTCCCCGTAATACATCACTGTTTTTATAACGATATAAATTCTCACAACAGTAATACTTTGATATAACAAAACCAATATTATCGATAGACTCCTAAAAGAATTTATTGCATATTTTCATCTTTTCAAACTTTTAAGAGCGTTTGTCTTTTTGGATCAAAACAATAGAGAAACAATACTTTCTACCATTGCGCACTAAAATCTCACTGAAGCAGCAAAACCTACCTACTCCAAAGTTAAACTCGAGCGCTCTATTCCTCATAAAAACAACGCTCATTATACTCCTACAAAAATGTAAACATTAAACGCTTTCCTTTAATTTTTCGATTCTTCTTTCGAAATAATTTTGTAAATATCTCGGCACTGAGTATTCAGCTGCCTTCAGCGTCAGCAGATCGTGTGCTCACGAAACAGGTGAGCGTTAAATCACGAATGAAATAGCAGGGGCATTTGAAAGCGATTCTCTAAACACAATCACGTAAAAACTCCATTTCGAAGGATTGTACATAACTTTTCTTCTATCTGTTGCTTTTTTTTTGGCCAGATATGTTGATAAGGTAAGTGTTATAAAATTTTCTTACTTTTTCAAGGGTAGTAATTAATGTAATGCGTCATTATCAGGTTGGTAGAACTGGTTGCTTCGTTTTAAAACTAAATACGTGTGAAAATTTAGACAGTGTAGTTTAAAATGACATTTTTTAGGGTAAATTTTTGGAAAAAAAGTATATTTTTTAAATGATTACGAAAGAGACAAATTATTTTATGTATGTAATAAAGATCTTTCGGCATACAAAGTTTCAAAACTAGTTTTGATGTTCTTTTAGTTTATTTATATTCATTTTTTATATTTATTACAGAATCAGGTCGAAGCTACCAATTTTACCATCAGGTGGGTAAAATTGGTTGTTTGGTTTTTGCTCTAAATTTGTGATGAACAACCGAAACGTATTTTAGACAGTGTACTTTGAAATGACAGTTTTTAGTGAAAATGTTTTGAACAGAAGTATTTTTATAAATGTTTTCAAATTAGTCGAATTGTTTCATTTAAGTAGTATTTTTTTCGCACACAGCTTCGAAACTAGTTTTTATATTCTTTTACTTAATTTATATTCATTTTTCTATATAAATTACAGAATCAGTTTGATAAAACCATCAGGTTGGTAAAGTTGATAGCATGATAAATCAGGTTGATAGTTGATAGATTGATAAATCCATGATGAACAATTAAAAAAAAATTTAGACAATGTGGTTTAAAATAACAGTGTAGTTAAACTGTTTTTAGGGCGCATTTTTTGAACAGAAGTATTTTAATAATTGTTTACAAATTAGTCAAATTGATTTATGTATGTAATAATGATATTTTTTAACGTGCACAGCTTTAAAACTAGTATTTATATTCTATTACTTTATTTATATACATTTTTGTATAAATTAAGCAAAAGCTTAGAGCAAAAAGGCGAAGTGGTTGTCAGACAAAATCAGCGGGTTCATTCAAACTTTGCTTGCTAGAATAATTTTTTTATAAAAACTTATTTTTAAGAACACTTGTAAAAAATAGACAATATATCGCCAAAATTTCTTTACAGTTATTTTTTTAACTTATACTTCCATTAAATTTTTTCGTGTGATTCTATAATTAATTCTCGGCAAAACTTTCAGGGATCATTTATTTAGGGAAATATTTTTATTTTATGGAGTTCAGTTATTTATGGGCGTTCCATCCCATTTCCTAATTTTTTTATTACAGCGATTATATTCTAATCGTCCTTAAATACGTTTTTTTAGTTTTCTAAATTTTTTATTTATTTATTATTGCTAGTGATAGAAAACCGGGGGTTTTGAATGGTTATTAAGTATTTAAAACTTAAACCATGGGATTGAGAAATCTGAGTTTTGTTTTTAACTCCTTTTTTTCCCATCCATTCTATCAATGGTTCAACTGTGGAGGGTTGTTGAGGACAACCCCCCCCCCTCTAAACATATGAATTCTGAAAATATATTTCCATTATTTATGTAATTTTATTAATTATTATGTATTAATGAATTATGATTGTAAAGTTTTGTAATCAAATAAACAATTAAATAGGGACTGGAGTACTTAATACTTCCACAAGTGCAAATCTGGTGTTTTTTTTAATTAATTTCTTCGTTGAAAAGTAATGGCTATAGCAAAAAAGTTTGTATAAAAAGTTTGCAGGCGAAATTCAAGAAAATCGAAATAAAAATCATTACAATTTCCCTTAAAATTTTTTGCTCATTTGGTAATTCTTTTTAAATTTCAATATCTGAAAGAAAAAAAACAAAAATGGCTAAAAAAGTAACGTTAACGAGACCAAAATGATGGAACCAAAACGACGAAACCGAAATGTCCTACTTCGGAAGTAGTAACACTTCCAGAATTATATTATACTTACTATACTATAAGTTTATATTTTATATCAGATATAGAAAATAAAATTTCATGAATAGGCATGGGTTTCAATGAAATTACCCATTTCATGCAATTATAAGTTTTAAAGTAAACACATCTTATTTTTAATATGACGGAGATGAATTTGTGATCCCACAATACTATGTTATATTTCTTATGTAATATTATACGATATTTTTATATTAGGAATGGAAAATCAAATGTTAGGAAAGGCATGAATTTTCTTAGAATTACTCATTCCATGCTTTGGTTTAACCTTTTGACAAAGATTTGACACCGATGTCCCCTTTATATATCTGGCCATTATCAATAGCCCATTAGTGTACCTTCAGCATGATATAAGCAACAAACTGAATCTGAATAAATTATCAGGTCTAATTTTCTTCTACGTGGAATCTGTAGAGCGAAACTATTCCATATAAACGTTAACTGGAGAGGTAAACATCTTGCGATCACCCATCTAGATAACCGTATGACCAAATTTGCTTATTTGTGTAATGTTCCACCACGGAGACAGTTTGCGGTCTCCCACCATACGTGTAATCTTGAGTATATATATATATATATATATATGGCTNNNNAGTTTCATATTAGTCCGAAACATCTTCTTTAAAAAACACGAAAAAAAAAGTTTCTTTCAATTAATTTGCACAAGGGTGTATATATATATGCGGTGAACGTAATATTTAGTATATATATGCGGTATGCGAAAAATAAGTCGTCAATCTAATGACCGACCGAACGAGGTTCGAATCAAAACATTGACACCAAAATATTTTCCCCATTCCTTCAATATATGAGGAGTTTCAACCATCCTTCTCCCCTCCTATGCATACATTTTATTTTATATTTTAATACCGTAGTTGAACAGCTGACTCTTGGGTTTACTGCTACTAATGATCAACGCCGTAGCCTTGTAACTTTGAACCTAATTCAGAATACAAGATAACTCGTGGATCAAGTATTGGACGAAATTTGCCTCCATGAAGGATTTTTTGATGTAGCTAACCAGCATTTGCGTTACATGGGCAGGAAAATCAAGAAAACCTCCCACAATTAGCCTGGCGGCAAGGGAACTCCAACCAATGATCCATCTACAACTAAGTATATTTTACATCAGCACTGTTGTCGGTGAGAGCCGAATGCGGAATTCGTATCGACCAGCTACGGCTGGGATTCGAACCCTTTTCACCTCATTGGAAGGCGGACGTTCTATACCCTGAGCCGTCATGGTTCTCATGCATAGAAACAGGACTAAGATCTGAGGCAAAAAAATAAACATCATTTTTCTTGAGCCATTTTTTTTTTAGAAACTATTAAAATTTTTGGTGAATAGTCACCACTACGGTTACAAACGTAAAGGTTCAGTAGTTAAGGACACTGAGCTGTCTGTGAAGGACTAAGGTATGATCCTCAGTGGCGGCTCGAAGCTTAACCAGCATCAGATAGATCTGAATCAGCTTGTCGGCAGTAAAGGCGGGATTGTGCGCAATACAGACCCCATTGTAACCATCATACCGTTGTTAACAATATGTGGAGCCTTAACTTCTGTGATTCCTACTGGCCCACAACGAGCTGTTATTGAAATGGTTTACTAATGGTTTAAGATTGTTTGGTTTGATGTATGGCTCATTAATAGATATTACTACATCGAAGAAACACGATAGACGCAGCTTTAAATATGAAAACCACAACTAGCAGATAAGATTTTATTTTACAAAAAATAAGCAAATAAAACAGATTGTTTTGAATAATGAGTCTTGTAATTTTTTTTTCTTTTCAACCAACTTTATATATACTTAAAAGCTGTAATTGTATTAGAAACGACTGTTTATTTAATATTTATTGGGTTTCAATCAAATATACATTTTTACAAAATACAGCTGGATGCTTAAATTTGTTTACTCGGAAGAACACTGTAGCCGTTGTTGTTGGAAATCAATCAAAAGATATTTCATCCTTCTCAAATGAAACAAAACAATTTTCAAGTAGCATTTTTTTAGTAATTTTCTAGTTGGTATAAAAATATTTACTATTATCATACAAAATAATCTTGAAAATAACTATTAAATTAATTAGATTTACACTGACTGAACTTAAGCATCAGTGAGTGTAAATTTATCTATTTTTTAAAGAAAAACTTTCATTCCGTATTTAATTCATTTTTTACTAATAATAATTAATTTGGAATTTAAGCCAAAGTATAGCTAATCAATATGATTACTTCACTAGATGACTCGATTAACCATTTGACGGAAATGGGACACCAATTTCCTTTTTATATATATTTTTTTCTAACGCTCTAATTAAAAGGAAAAATTAATTTTTATATTTCTTATTATAACAAACAGTCTAATACTTACTGAAATTTCTGTCAGATTATCGGAATTATATTTGTACTGAAATACAAAATGCAAAAATGATTGCTTAAATTTTCTCATTCATATTTAAAGATTTACTCATATTTAAAGATTTTTATAATTGATTTCTTAAATTTAAAAAATGTCAGCGATAAATAACTATTCTCTTAGATCTAAATAACTGCAAATGAGTGCAAATTTAAAAAAAATATTACTTGGAAGTGAGCCATGTTTGAAAGATAACGCAGACAAAGACACGGGAGTTTCATGCTGTATTTTATAACCATAAACTATTAAAATGCTAAATATAACATTTCTCACTTATGTTGATCTATATAAATACAATACAATGAAAAAACTATAAAAAATATGTTTAATAAAAATTCTGTTTCAAAAGGATAACTCTACTTATTTTTTTCTTTTCTTAATTCCCTGTGTTAAAGCACTTGGTTGACTTGTTGTATATATACAAAACAAACTTTTCTAATAATAAATTCTAATACTATTAAATAAAAAAATATTTCATTCAGTAATAAACAATTTAGTCAGATGCTAATCTCTACATTGTTTGATTGATTTGACAACTGATATCGTCGTCCGAGGACTAATATGAAAACTATTATTCTAACTTTTGAATTTGGAACAAAATAAAAACTATTATTAATCCATTTTATTCCCTATTTGTCTTTGAATTAAAAATAATGAGTGCCCTAGAAATAAAGCAGCAAAACAACTAAAAACACGTCCCTCATTTACTCCTTGAATT